GCACTGCAGCTGTCAGGGAATGAAGAGCATACAGAGCTTTACAGATGTCTGCAAAGGAGAATTTAATGGGTAAAAGCTTCACACAAACATGTAGATGGCTGCAGTCACTGGCCATAGCCCTGACTGCACAGGAAGATTTGAGCACAGTTCAGAACCAGCAAGCACAGGACATTTGCATCCTGTACCTACAGCCTTACCTACTCTTGTATGGACTGCAGACACTGCCCATAACTTCTTAGCTATGCAAAAGCAGGAAAGTACAAATAACTATTTTCAGGATCTGTGTACTGCATTCATTACCTGCTTCTCTCCAGACTCTATCCTGTTTAAAAGAAACCCCCCCAAAAATCATGATACTGACATTATCCACAGCTTTACAAAGGCAAGGGCACATGCAGCATTCACTTCTTGCAAGGACAGGGAGTTTGTACTAGAACCACACTGTGGGTAGAAGTGCTTGGCCCTGTTGGATAGAAGTTGCAGTCAGTCTCTGAGATGTCAGAAACCATTACATTGGCACAAGGCTTTACCTCTCCTGGCTGTGGGCGCCACCACTCTCTCTCCAATGTCCACAGCACATGGGGTGCTACAGTCTTTCATGGCACTTATACAGGTCTCAGATTTTCTCTTCTTCCCAACCTTGGATACTGCCTCTGGCATTGCTGGGCAGAGCTTCGTCATCCAGCTGGTAGATTTTTTTGTTGTAAACATTTTAGCCTGTTGCTTCTTTGCCTCAGAAGATATGTTAACTCCAAGGAAGTTATAGATATCAGAAGGGAAGGTAAACCCCTTGATATAAGGGGTCTGTTGGGTCTCAGATACCAGATGAAGCATTGTCGACAAATCATCGTACAAGGATGTGAGGGTCTGCAATACACACCTGTACTGAATCCTGAAAACAGAGGACAAAAAGGAATGGAGTCTCCTCTAGCAAAATATGATGCTCACAGAACAACTACTTTCAGCTCAGCTGCCCTTCTCCTGTTTCCCCTCAGTACAAATTCACCTTTTTTAACTCCATCACCCTGCTTTTCTTAAGTGTGAGCTTTAAGGAACTGTTCCAGATCAAAATGCAGGAGTGACTTAACTAGTAAATTCCTGATCAGGAGCCCCTGTGCTTCCGTAGAGTTTTGCTGAGTGTCACACTTGGGACCTATCAGGTTCTTGGGTCACATCCAAGGAGCCATGAGATCTTCCCACAAAATCACCCTGCACCAACTCAGGCCTGATACCACACAATTGCCTGCTCTAAGTTTTCTGGAGACACAGGATTTCTTGTGCCAAAGAAAGTTGTTCTAACAATGTTTTTACTCCTTCAGCTACAGACAGCAGTTATTCTCTCAGACCAGAACACCCATTTTCCGTGGAAAACTCAGCAGTGTAATAGAACACGTTTATCCAAACCTTTCCATTTCAGCATGAAATTTCAACTATTTATGAGGCAGGACTTACTCCTCGCTGCAGGAAGTACCAGGTGTTTGTGGCAGGCTGACACTAACACTGTGGTTTCATTAGAGCTACATACAGTTTGCTAAGATGCAGGAACAAAGCTGTCCATAAGAGCGTTTAAGAAGTCTCTCTTGTACAACTCTGCAGGTGCTAGAATCAGGTCCAAAGGCATGGAGGGACCCTCCCTTTTCCTTCTCCCAACTGAATGAAACTCCCTTAGCAGCAAGGGCTAATTACAAGCCCTTCTCTCTGACAGGCACATCAAACAGACAGACACAAACAAGACAGACTTTTGAACACACAAACCAGAGCCGGCTCAGTAGCCCCGAAGCCACAGTATTCAGGAGTATGAATTCCTCTGAGCAGAGGTGTTTAATGGACAAGCTGAAGATTACAGCAGTTAAGGTTAAAAAAATAAACAGCATGTAATGAGACTTGCTGAACACACCAACTAGAGGCAATTCACAAGGCGATATCCTGGAATAATCTGGGAGATGAGTATCCAAACTTTGGATTGCTCAAGGCCAGAACAGCTGCCAGCCAAACAGCCTGAGGTTCCTACATAATAACTGGAAAAGGTCTTGGCTATCAAAGAAGCTTCCAGTTGCACGTATGAATTGCACAGTTCAGTTCATCAGCAGTACAGGGCCACCACGAGACCTGGTTTTGGTCTCATGAGGTGCTACTGATGAACTCTAACAATGTTTTTGTGGTGAAAAAAGGATACAGAAAAGCTTTACAGCAACAATCCAGGAGACGTAGTATGAGCTTGCAGCCTCCCAACACCTTCAAAGCCACTGTTTCCAGCACAGGTTGGCTGGGAACCAAGCACTCTGCGTGGGCTTCAGATGCATTTTTCCTGTGTTGATAAAGGGATGAAGAGCTGGTTATGATCTAGCATCCTCTTCCTTTACCTCTGCAGATTGAGTTAATGGATAGTACAAGATATGGCATCATGACACTTACTTGGGAATCAGTCCTACCAGAGTTTCCAGGCAGCCCACCAAATTCATTTTCCATAGGCGCTTCAAACATTGCTCTACCTAGGAGAAAAGAAAACTTCTTTTGAGTGGTATTTTGAAAGACTCAGTCCCCTGGTCTAAGAACTGTCACTAGATTAAATGACACCTTCTCCTTATCAGTTTAACAGCCCACACTGCAGGTTTGTGTGATGGGACATTCTGGGACATTTCTGTATCTGCACTATGATGAAAAACATCCCTTCATCACTCTACTGTACTCCACTTAATACAGAATTAAGTGAAGAACTGGAGTTGGCCATGTTTAATTAGTGCTGCACGATTTCCCTGCTGTATACAAGGGCCTTTACTACTGGATGTCAAGAAGGAAAACACATAAACAAATCTAGAAGGTAAGCACCATTCCTGCTCCATTTCAAAACAGTTATTTGAAGATGCTGACAACCCCTTTCCAGGAAAACTGGCAAGGTGTTCACTTTTCTTCTTAGAACAGAAAGCATGAAATAAGTAGGATAAAATTATTATTATTCTTCCCTCCCATTATTAAGTTTAGTTGAGAATTATGTCCCTGTATTATTCATATATTCAAAGGTATGGAATGGTACCTACTTCAGGTCTCAGTATGAGTATCAGAGACCAGGGCTGGAAAATGGAAATTGCACTTGCTGCACAGAGCTAAGAAACCCACTAGGCTCAACTGTGAGAGAACAAAAACGCACCTGTTCCCAAATTTTTTTTGCACGATGCTCTGGGTGCAAACTGCTACTCCAAAGGCTTTTGGGGGAATGGTGACTGGGGGCCGGGAGTACCCAGGTGCTGGGTCCCTGCCGCCCAGGTGGGGTTGGTGCTCACCTGCTGCAGGGCCAGGTAGGGCCGGTGCCGCAGCAGCCTGCTGTGGTACGCGTAGAGCACGGAGCGCAGGACGCGTCCCTCGGCAGCCAGGCCCGGCCCCGACAGCCGCTTCCCAGCGATATCGCAGCGCCGCCGCAGCGCCGTCAGCAACCTCACTGCGGGCGAGACCAGGGACCGCCTGAGCGCCGGGCTCCAGCACCGGGCACCGCCTGAGCGCCGGGCTCCAGCACCGGGCACCGCCTCAGCGCCCGCCGCCGCTCCGGCCGTTCCTCCGGCTCCCACCGACAGACCACACACCGCAAACACCCGGGAGAGGCTTCAAACACCCCCCACCCCCCTCGGCACCGCGCCGGGACCTGCGGGGTGCTGGGCCGACAGCGGCACCGTGGCGCTGTTGGCGGGCCAGAGCACGTCCAGCCGGTTCCAGGGCACGTCCCGCCCGGCCCATGCCGCCCTGAGCGCCGCCATCTTCCCGCTGCGCACGGCGAGCCCCGGCGTGGGCGGCACCATCCGGGAGGGGAGAGTCGCGGACCGGACCAAGTCACCCCGCGGGGGTGGGTCGTGGCCCGGGGCTTGGCGCCGACGCTCTGTGTTCCCAAATGCCATAAGCAGGAAGGGAAATCACTGTAAATAAATGTAAATGTAAATAAATGTTATTCACACTTTCTAAACCTGGCGATTCCCCATTGTGTGCCTTGGGAGGCCCTTGGGAGGCAGCGCAGCAGCAGCCGAGCTGCTCCGTGAGGCGGCGCCGGGGTGCTCCGGGGGTGACCCCAGTCCCCAGCCCCGCAGCTGTGCCTTCCCATGTCACACACAACCCTCAAAGAGCTGGAAAAGCTGCGGGATTGGCTTCAAACCAGAAGCAATTCACATCCGGACTAGAGGATGTAATCTTAAGATGCACCAGGGAAGGTTCAGGTTGGACATTATGAAGCATTTCTTCAAAGAAGGGGTGCTCAGACATTGGAACGGACTGTCCAGGGAGGTGATGGAGTCACCGTCCTTGAGGGTGTTTAAGGAAAGAGCGGACGTGGCACTCGGTGCCAGGTGTAGCTGACGCTGGTGTTCGGTCACAGGTTGGACTCAATGATCTCAGAGGTCTTTTCCCACCCAATTGATCCTGTGATTCTGGGATATCGGCGTTCTAACCAAGAAAGGACCCACGCCCAGGTACCCGCCTGGCTATCCCGATCGCTCCATGTCACAGCCCCTGCTGTTGGAATTTGTTATGGCAGGGAGCCACTGCAGGTGCCCCATGGAGTTGATTGCTGTAATTTATTAGTGTTATTGGAATAGTTTCCTATCAAAATTATTTTGGTTGCGTTCTGAGTTGTCTTCCCTCAAGTACAAGACATTTCTTGCCTCTTTCCCTCCCTGAAGCTGAATTTCCCTAGTTGAAAACATTGGTGCAATTAATATATTTGTTAGAAACAAGGGAGTTAAATTAAGCACAATTTTGTACACTCTTACCTTCTCTTGATTCCATTTTGTCGTACACTTACTCTATGCTTTTAAGAAATCTCATACAAATACAGATAAAGTCATGTCCCTTTAAAAAGAGCAAAAATTTGCATTAATGGTTGCACCTGTAGGGAAGAGAGATAAGAGCAAATTGAGAGGTAGAACTGATAAAAAGCTGCTGTGAGCACTTGACCAGCCTGGATAAAGGGAGTTTCAAGCTCCTTAGGCTAAGAGTGGAGTTTATAGGTGAAAGGAAAAATGGAACCTCCAGGGTGTGAGCAGAGGATAACAAAGGTCTCCCTAGCTGACCTTCTGAGGTGTTTTGAACATCCTGTAAGCGAGGAGCAAGCCTGGGCTATCTGCTTTCAGTGTTGCAGAAAAATAGAGCAGGTGGCTCAGGGGCTGTGCACACCTCTCCGTTCTGTGTTCATAAAAGGTTCTGGGAGCATCTTTATCCATGCTGATGGTACTGCTTCCTTCAAGGTCTACCACAAGTCTGGTAAGAGCATAGGTATCTGCAGATGCTAAGAGTTGTTTCCATAACAGGCTGAAATGTGAGGACAGAGTAGGGGAAATTTATTTTCCTCTGGGTTTTTTTTTGTTTGTGTTTATTTATTTTTTCCTTTCCCCCTCTCCTATATATGTTGTCCTGAAGCTCTTCTGCCTGTGTTTCATTTTACAGGACTGTAGATGAGTGGCAATACAGATGTATGATCTACTAATTTCTCTAGTAGTGCTATATGGAGTCATTTGGTTTTAGGGAATAGCTGTGATGAAAGCCTTCTACCATTTATGTTATTTGAAATAAATAGTCTGAGGCTTTGTTATGTATACTGCTCTGTTCATCTTCCAGTGTAAGGTTCCTTTGTTATGGTAACTGTCACAGCAGATTTATGATTGATACTTTCCCCTTTTTTGGTCACTATGTGTAACCACCAAGTAGTAATAACTCTGTATTACGCAGGGCTGGGTTGGGCTGCAGCAGAGGTTAGTGCTAGGCTAATTCTTCAGAGACTAGAGTGGGTAGTAAAGAAGATTCTGTGCCTTCCCTGGAGGTTAGATATCAATTAGCAAACAACAAAATGCAGCAGCAGTTACTTTGGGCTAAAACTCACAATAACATGAGTCTCCTGTGTTGTTTTCCAGGACTGCCCAAATACTGGCCCACCTATTTTCCCCAGGTGGGACTGACTTTTGTCAGAGGAGTTAGTTACCTTATTAAAAACAATGCTTCCTGTTCCACTCTCTTGAAAAGGGTTCTGGAAACTGTTTATCAATGCCCTTACAGCTGTCTTTTTCCCTGACCCTCGTTTTTTCCCTTTCAGATGTTGGCAGCATTCAGCAATCAGAGGACAAGGTAAGCCTGTGTCTTTTCCTTCGTTGTGTGTGCAGATATAATCCTGTTGTAGTAGAAGGCCTGCTCAGGAGATGCAGAAGTCTTGGGAAACTATCAAGGTGCTTAAATTTTCTGTGCCCTGTGAGAATGACTCCCCTGCAACCTGGAAAAAGAAACAAAATACTTGACTGAGCTCAAGTAAGACAATGGGACTGGGAAACAATGTGCACAGATGTTGTCTTTTTGTCCTAATAACAGATATCTTAGGGATGCCAGTTAAGGCCATTTAAAAACTTGAAATCAGCTTAAAGGGGTAGTATTTCCCACCCTGAGAGATGTGCTCAGTCTTCAGAAGCAGAGGAGGGAATGGCTGGAAAGTAAGAGCTGTGATGTTCTCCATAATGCTTTGTGCTGCACTGCTTCCTTGGTCTCTGTCTGCAGCTGTTGGAGTACTTGGGAGTGGTGATCTATGAAGCCCTGGACTGGGGAATCGACAGCCAAGTGGAGCGAGAACTGAGTGAGCCTTTGGAGAAACTGCTGTGCCTCATGTTGAAACTGAATGACAAGGCAACAGAACCACCAGTCACCCTGCAGGATGTTATCAAGGTTTCCTTCTTTCCCCTTAGTAAACATTGCAGCTTTAGAGGAGTTGATGGAACAGTGCTGTTGACCAAGAGGCAAGACCATTTCGGGGAAAAAGCTGGATGTGCTGATGGAGGACAGAGAGGGAACATTTGCCTTTTCCCATTAGAGAGAAAAGGCAGAATCATTTGAGATGTTTGTAAGTGCCCATGGAAAAGAATTAAGAAGGAAGACTGAGTATGCCTCTCCCACAGCTGTGTCTACAAAGTCCTTCTGTACACAGTCTCCAAAATCAATACCTATAACACTATGGATACTGAAAGAAAATAATTTTCCATAGTATTTGGCTTCTGCAAAGTCTGGGATTTGAATGTCTCAAACAGATATTTTTCTCTCAGCCATAATTTAAAGGTATGAGAAACTTCCCATCCCTTTGGATGGGATCCCTTGATCAGGGCAACTGATTCCATTTGCTGTGGATTGTTGTTCTTTGAACTGGAGGCTTCCCTTTTCAGGTGCTCATTTCAAAGCACGCCTTAGTGAAAATGAGATATACAAATTACACTGCTACTTCCATTATTGTACATAAAATATTGAACATCTTCCTCTTTGTTCCTCTGTATCTGCAATAGAAAAAAAAATATAAAGGGGCAGTGAAGAAGATGATTTTTAACCATGGATTGAAGAAACAGAATCTTGCTTTATCCCATCCCACCATGTTTGTTTTTATTTTTTTAATTTCATCTTTTTTTAATCACTGCACTTCTTTCAGGCCTGTGAGGAGCACTTGTCCAGGCCTTCTGAGGCTACCAGCCATTATGAAATGACCTGTAGGAGTCTGTTTACTGAATATATAGAACTTCAAAAGCTTGTGACCATCATCCAGACCTCCAAAGAGGTATGTTTAGATTACCTATTAGCTGCTATTCCCTCTACCTTCACTCACCAAGTTCTAAAGTAACATTCTCATTGCACTAGAAATGGAGTACCTGGATTAAGTTCTGTTTTCACAATGTGAATAGCTGCTGTCTCTGGACCATTTTTATTTATTGTAGCATTTGAAAGTTTAGGTGTTTGGAGCTTCTAGGCTTTTCAGATAAACGTTAGTAATTTATGCTGGATAGATAGGAGATCACTGAAGAGTGTAAAGTGATGACCTCATGTGCTTGCTTTTCTCAGAGACTGAGAAAAATGGATGTGGAAGATTGGTTGGAAAATCCCATTCAAAAGAAGAAAACCCGTGGTGTAAGAGATTTATTTTCTTCATTACGGGGGACTGTTTTGGGTTTTTTTTTGGTCAGGGTTAGCTTTCTGAGGCTTTGCATTGATTCTTCTATGAAAAATAGAGCTTGAACAAAAATTAAACTTCTTAGGCTGTTCAGGAGCCTGAGTAGTTTAAGACTTGTTTGCAAAACAAGCCGGGGAGTGAACTTGAAGTTAAGCTATTTCATATGTCAACCTCACGTGGACTTCTGTTCTACCCAAAGATTGTCTTTGTGGGCCAACTTAAACCACTTCTAAAAATGAAGTTGGAGGCAGTCTTTGGAGTGAATGCCCACAAGTAGTTACACAGGCTGTTTCTTCCCACAAATGAGCCCTAAATTCCAGCTCTTGGCAGGAACTGACACCTGCCAAAAGCAATCTGTTCCTTTCTCATAGCTGGAATGAAAGCTCCCAGAAAACTCTTCTGTTGTTGGTAATCCTGGGGTGGACTAGTTCACCTTTATTATGTGGTGTCTCTGTTGGTCAGGACTGGCAGGGACTGAAGGCCAGTAGCAGTGTCCATCTTTGTGAGTGAAGGAGGGTGAGATTTCACTCCTACCTTCCGTGCACTGCCTTTCTTGTCTTTGCCTTCTGTGCTTCCATAGATGTTGGACTGTGTTTGGGGCAGGGAAGGCAACTTACTGTGCTTTTTTTCAAGGCCCTACACAGTCAGGGCTCAATCAGAAACAAATAGCTCTTCAGGCTGGAGCTCTGCCCAGCATAAACAAACGCTCTGTAGTCTGGAGTCTGTGGAGACAAACAGCAAGCCCCAAGAGACTTGTGGACTTGCTCCCTTTGTCTAAATAGCACTTGCTTTGAAGCGTGCTCAAACTATTTGTATGAAAATGTTTGTGAAATGTGTGTTTGGGCATATTCTCAATTTTGTGATCTATTAAAATAAACTGGCAAGCTATCTCAAACCACAAACTCATCAACTGCTATAGCTCTTTTCTGCAGGGAATACATGAATAAATACATGGGCTTTGCCGTGTGGCCTGAAGGCCAGTGTATTTGGCCTCTGCTCCTTCAGGAGGCATGAATTCCAAAAGCTGGATGTCTGTTGTGAATCCTCTGCCTCTGGTTTCCAAGTCCCTAAGCACCAGTTGATTGCACTGCTCTGACAATCTCTTGAGTTTAAAATAACCAGGATGCCAGTTTCTCTAGGATCCCACAGGTTAGAGCTGATGTCTTGAGTGGTGCTAAGCAGCTAAAGTGCTCCATGTACCACACTTTTTCATGCAAAACAGAACTTCTGAAATGCAGACCACAGCCTGTGGTCAGATCACAGATACTGTGAAGTGCTGTACAATTTCAGAAGAGCCTATCTGTACATGTCCCAAGTTGATCTCCACCTTGAAATCTAAGCAGTGAGACCTATAAGAAACACAGCTGTCTTAGTGCTCACCTGTTGAACTCAAGGTAATGGGTTTAGAGTGTTGTAACATTTTGTGTTGTACTGCATAGGTTGTGGAAAGTTTAGGTGGCTTTTGACAACACGTGGGATGGCAAAAATAGAATAATTGCAGTGATCCAGTCAGTAAGGGAATAAAAGCATGAGTGATAATGGAACATCTGAAAAATGTTTTGGGTGTGTAAGTTGCTCTGAAATGGTCAGCTGAAGGCAATTCTTGTCCCCAAACTTATGTGGCAATATTACAATACAGAAATCTCTCTTCAGGTCATGTCTCTCCATCAAGTCCCATCACCATGTGAAATGCAACTCTATGAAGTGCAAATGTCTCAGGATAAGCTATTTCAAAAGTCTCTAGTACTGATGAGTTTGCCCAGAGACTTCTGTGTGCTCTCCTACACAGTATTAAATGTAGTCTAGGAGATATGGCAAGTTTGGTCATTCTTTGAGAGTTCTAGTTTTCTGGAGTTGAGGTATGACTACCAAATCCAGGCTAGAACAATCCAGCAAAAATATGTCTTCTTGAAGGCAGCCATCAGTCAGAGCTTGCATAAGACTCTTCTGGTATTATACCAAGATATCTGAAGGGATAAGTAGAGAGATGATGCTTCATGCTGTAAGTAGAAAAGAGAGAGAAGCCTAAGTCAGATACTTTGTTCTGAGGCAGTTTTCTAAAATGTTTTGCTTCCCTTTCACTGTTTATAATACAATGACTTGTTCTTGCTCAATTTGCCACTGGGATCCAGATAAGCTGTTGATTTAGCACTTCCATTACAATGTTGTCTAAACATGCTATTGAGTTGATTACTTTTTTCCCTGTCTTTAACTTGTGTTGGGCTATACTGCATGCCTGAACATCCTCAGATACTAGTACAGAAACAGGATGAGCAGATGTCAGGGTTTTTAGCTTGTCTCTAGGCTGAGATGGCAAACCTATGCTTCTGTTAAGATCCCCTGTCTACTTGTCTTCCTCTTTTGTTTCTGGACACCTCAGCCTCTGGTTTTCTGAGAATCTGGAGGATTTTAATGGTGATTTGGGATTTCATTCCCAGTGTTTCCTAGGATCCAGTCATATGAAAGCACTCTGGCACCTGGAGCACTTGCAGAAAGAAAATAGGTCTATTTATTTACCTGGCAGCAAAAGCTGTATTTTGCTGAAGTACATCCATAAAGTTAATGACAAATTTTGGGAATAAGCCTGGTGAGCCAGCTATGAGTTGTAAGTTAACTTCTGCAAAGAAAATTATTTCTCTGCTTAGGTACTGCACTCTGATCTGGAAGTGAGTAGAAGGGCGTGTTAAGGACACAGTTCTGTGTTTCTGAATGACTTCAGCTGCTGAGTGTGCCCTGTGACATGGAGGGAGGAGGGGATGCTGCTCCACGAGTTCTAGCCAGCTACTGACTTGGCCCTTGCTGGTTTCTCCAAGGCATCCCTGTGGCCCAATGTCATCTGTGAGCTGCAGACTGGTGTGAGGCTGCGCAAGGCTGCCGAGCGACCACAGCGTTGTCTGTCTCCAAAAGAACATATTCGCTCTCCCTATGAGATGCTTTTGGATGACATTCAGCAGAAGAGGTACACCCTGCGCAAGGTGAGTGACTGGAGTCAACGGACAACTTTGAAAACATCCACTCTGCTTTGTTTCTGAGCAGTATGTGTTGAGACCTCTTTTCCAAAGGCATTTTTTCAAAGGTACATTGAAGTTCAGCAGTCTGGCGTTCTCAGCTGCAGCTCAGTGTTAGATTACCCTGTTTGTCCACCCAAATACTTAGTTTCTAGTAATTTTTTAAGTCAGGAGTAGCCACAGTTTTGTGAATCAGCATAGTAAACCTCTTCTCCCTCCAGGGTCAACCACTGACTTCCCTGCAGCAGTTATTCTGCTCTGTGCACAACAGTTTCATGGAACATACTCTTGTTTCCTTGTGCTTTCCACCTTGGACACTTGTGGCCTTCCTTCAGCTGTGCCTGGCATCTTCTTGCTTTGCCTTCCCAGATGCTGTGGAGTGTATGCAAGTGCAGAAGCACTTTTGAGACAGTTTTCTGCCTCAGGCAGAAGCCTTTGGGCAGTGCACTCAGCTACTGCAGGAATTTAGTCAGGGTAAAAAATGTTGAGCCCCTCACAGGGAGGGTCAGAGACTTCCACCTTCACCACTTGGTTGGTGAAGATGACCAGATACAAAAACGTCTGGGGTGTCTCTAAAGGCTTGTGATGCTCTTTGCTTGCTGCAGCTTGAACTGGGAATGATGAGCAGATCTAAAACATTGGCACAAGGCCTTGTGGCATTGGCGTGCTTTGCAAAAGACGCCTTGGCAGAAGATGAGACACAACTCCTCTTGTAATAAAGAGTGGTGTTACAAAAAGTGAAAATTTTGCATACTGCACTAGACATCAGCCTTTTTTCCTCTTTGTTGGTGCTGCTAGAGTTCAGCAGGTTTAAAAGCTTCAGCTAAACCGTGCACCTCTGCAAAATCCCAGCTCTTGCTTGGCTTGACTGTGGCTCCAGCCTCCAGGTAATGCTATGTCATGTGTTTGGAGATGTAATCTTGATGGTTATGTAAATTAATAGTATTGGTAAGGAGACAGTGCATCATAGCTAGTTTTTACATGCAATGTAATGTGTGTCAATGCACTGTGCAGTACAGAACTGTAACACAAGGTGGCAGGATGATCTGGGTCTTGATTTTCTTTTTTTTTTTTCTTCTTTTTTCTTTTTTTTTTATTTTTTTATTTTTCTCTTTTTCCTTTTTGGTAACTTTTTCTTTGGTCCGCGAGAAGCACAAACATGTTTGAAAAGTAGTAGTCAGAAATGCTGAAAGAAAGCAGAGTGCTACTGCTCAGGTCTTTGTGAGGGCTCTTAAACTAGGATTTCCCCATCTGCAAAGCTATTTTAAAGCTCCTCTAGCAAACAGTGGTCTAATTTGCAAATGAATGAAAGCACAGCTACTGTGGGGAGCTGTAGTGTTGTTCTACCTGCACTCCCACGTGTTCTGAAGTTGTATACACAAGTGAAAGGAAATGGCATAGCCTCGAAATGCGAGTAAGTGAACAAGGCAGCTAAAGGCGTGCATGTGCAATTGACTTTTTTGTCAGTTCTTCCCTACGCAGCAAGCTCAGAGCTTGGTGCTTCACATGAATATCTCTGCAATTCTATCTTGCTATTGTTCCTAGTTTATGTCCGGCTGTAAGCCATTCTCTGGGACTCTAGCTTACACATACAGCTGCCTGCTGCTAAAGTTCTTGTTACAGTCTTGTTAACCCGTTCAATTGCTCTCCTCCCTGGAGCCGAGCTCTTACTGATGAATATGATGTGACCATGGTGCTTGTTAGGATTACTCCTGACACTGAGTACAGCGTTTTCTCGCTGCTTCTCAGAGCAGTTCGTGAGCTGTTGGGGCTAGAAGGCTTTGTGCTCCTTGTGCAAGCCTCTAAGGGCTGTGCAGTACTTCTGATTGCCTCTGGTTTGCCACGGGCAAATCTTTCCCTACCAAAACCCCATATAAGGAAATGTCATTATTCTGCACTTCCCAACTCCTTGTTTTGTTCTGGGGGCAGGGTGGGTGTTTGTTTGGGGCTGTTTTTTTTTTTTGAGGTGTGATTTTGTTTGTTCTTTTTTGTTTCATTTATTAACGCTTTTCCCACCTCCCCTGTTCCCAAATCCTGACTTGTATCCTTCACTGTGCCACTGAATGGCAGAGTGTACAAGGAGCAGAGTAAGAGCTATTTCTTAAGCATCATTTCTGCTCTTTCAGGTGACTGTCGAACAAAAGCGCAGGGCCTCCATAGTTGATGTAGCTGCTCTCAAGCCTCATCTAAAGCCGGTAGGTGACCTGGTGCTGCATCTGATGATAGCAAAACAAGGTAATTCTGGAGGTAACAGGACACTTTGAAGGAATATAAAGCTAATACCTTAGCTACTGGTTTGTATTTGGAAGGGGGTTATATTAACCATACCTAACTTTTGAATAGACCCTCCTGCCAAACATGGTATTAGAAAAATGGGAGTTGACATCTTTGTAGAAGAAAGAATGATCTTCCTACTTCCTCCACTGCTTCTTTAATTTGCAACATTTTATGGTCTTGAAAGAGCTCCTGGAGTTCTTGATTTCAAATTTGAGAGTTGCTAAAGTATTATACTAAGCATAGTGCTGAAGCCTGTCTCATGTGCAGGGCCCAGTGCCTTCTTGGGTGACAAGCACTTGTAAAACAGTGCCATTGCTGATGCAGTTTTCCAGTCACCACTGGTCTCCTTGCTCTGTCCAATGGCTCTTTGTGGTGCTATGCTTTGCCTGTAGATGTTGAAGGTGAAGCTGAAACAGCGTGTGCCACTGGAGCCCAGGTGGCATGAACAGCTCATGGCAGAAATAAAGCAACCACCAAAGCTTCGGGCAGCAGCACAGGAAAAGAGGAGCAGGCCCAAAGGTATCTGCTAGAGAGTGACCTAGCAAGCTAGCAACTGAAGTCAGCATTGGCTAAAAATAATAGATGTCCTTGGAAATGAAAGCCCACTTACATTTTCAATAACATTTGTAGTGTAAAGGGTGGGGAGGAATACAAATTTTGTGTGATAGAGGTGGTATGGTATAAGAATAGTTATTTCTAAAAAATCTGTTTGTGGCTTATTAAGACTCAATGATATTTCAACTTGCCCTTCTTTTTATGGATGTTCAAATTTGTCTGTCCACTAAGTGAAATTACAGGATTTTGACCATCACTTAAGAATAAAAGATTATGTAACTACCGGGACAAAGCCAGGCTAAATCTCAAATTCCAATGTGTGGGTATCAAATTTGTAGTTTTCTTGTCCCAGCTCTATCTCATTTAGTCTGTGAGTATGTGGTTTTTTGTTCTCTCTCTCCCCTGCAGAAATGCTTGAGGCATCAAATACTGCCTTGAACTCTCCAAACAACAATATCTTGCATCTCCAAGATGCCAGTACTGAGTTTAAAATTACCAACACTAAAACACAGCAGCTGGGAGCAGGAGCTCAGGTGAGGAGCTTTAGGTGAAAGGACTATGGAGAGGCATGCATACTTCAGGAATTAGAGCTGCAAGCATATACATGGCCTGGAAGGGAACAAATCTTGGTGTAGGAAATCTTGTCTGAAAAGTGAACAAATGTGGTACTAGTGGGTTCACTGAAGTCCTTTCCTCTACAGAAGCTCATTTCATGTATTGATGTATTTTGATTTCATGTGGTATATTAGCTCATGGAAGGAAAATTTTATGATGTATTTTGAGGAAGGAACTTGATGGGTAAATTCCCATTTGTCTGTCTGTGGAGTTATTTTGGGAGCACTGTTCTTCAGTAAATCACAATACAGTCTTTGGGTTCTTTAACTCCTGGCTCTGTCATGAAAAGCTTGACTGCTTGGTTCTGGGATTCAGTCTGAGCATATTCTGAAATTCTGTGGAACAGAACTTAAGCCCTAACACATCGTGTCTAGCACAGATGCTCTGGCATACAAACAGGAATCTGTTTTCTGTAAATATTTCTGTGTGAAATGCAGTTGCCTAACTGAGGAAGACAAATATGAATTATAAAAGCAGAAAATCTTAGCTATATTTGCCCCAGTCTGAGCTACTTGTAGGAATGTTCAGCATTTGAGAGCCCTGTGGTTGATGTATTACTGCTAAACTAGAAGGACCTTTATATGAATACTAGTATAATCAAATTTGTTTTCTGCTTTCCTGTGCAAGGTAGAAACAATACTGTTGAGATAAAGCATTGGGTTTGAGTTGAGGTAATGAGCTGCGTTAGTCACAGTCTCTTGAACTGCTCTGCAGTGTTGCTACATGTGAGCTGGAGCCAAGAAAATGGTTCCAATGCATTCCATGGGTTGTGTGGGGAGGATTTTCCAAGGTTGGTTCCTGAACAGATGAAACTTTAGTGCTAGTATCTACTATTGGACTTGGGCAAGAGAGAGAACAGGTGAATTGGAAACTTCACTAACTTGGCTAGAATTTCCTGGCTGTGGAGTGCAGGGGGAACTACCTTTATATTCCAAGAAGAAATAGAAAGTTTCTAAGTGTGCTCCATTGATTTTTCTCTCTGCTCCACTTCTGGCTGAGCCTTGAACACTTCTGATCAGTCATGGGTGTCCTGGGTTTTGTTAGGCAGCAGTACTTCTAATGAAGTGGCCTTGGTGTCTCTTACATGCAGATTATGAACATCCTCTCCTCTGGTCTACAGGAAACCATTCCAAAGCTGCCTGCCAGCACCTGCCTTCCTTCTACCAAGCTATCAGGAGTATCCTGCATCAGCACAGGTCAGTGCACTTCTGGCTGCACATCTAAACCAGGTGACAAAGTACAGACAGTGGCCTGGTGGGTTCCCAAACCCTTGGGCTGGGCTCAGTGTACACTTCTTTAATCACCTGAAGATACTTTGCAGGAGAAGTTCCAATGCTAAATAAAGAGTCTGAGGAGGTGCCCTTAGAAAATAATTTCTCTGCAGTTGACTGAAGCTTGTGTAGCTCCTGCAGCTTCAAAACAATGATTGCATGTTCCCAAAGGCCTGACTGGAATTTGCAGTAAAAGCTAAATGAGTGGTTTGAATATTCAAGTGGAAAGTGCAGCATTTCATTTTATTAAACTAAATGGTGCTAATGAAGCCTCATCAGTGCCTACTGACAAGCATAATTTCTGTAACCTCTGCTTTTTCTGTGATCTGAGCAGATGGGTTGGAGGGGGAGAGATGTAAGCCTTGCTACCTTCAGAAGGCAGTGTAGTGCTCTTGAGTGTCCAGCTTTCAGGGTGAATGCTCAGAACCTGACAGTGGGTTTTCTGCACCCTAAAACTCTCTCCTCCTATCCAGGTCTCACTGCAAATTGCATGTCTCCTCCCATGAGTGCACCCACACCAGGAGACATTAAGCCTAAGTGTTTCCTGAGCACTGGCCAACAGCAGGTGCCTCCTTACAGAGGAAGGTCCAGATCTTTAGAGAGAGGCCTTCAAAGCAAGCAACTTGTAAGTCCAACATGTCAGCAAGCAGCCCTGGTCTGATATATCTGGTAATGACTTGTGCCTTGATCCTTATGAAAGCAGTAGGCATGCTCTGTGGTTTTTGTCTTGGGACAGAAGGTATACCCATCTGAAGCTGGTATATTATTCTCTCCTTGGAGACATCTTAAGAGAAGACTGGAAGCTGTAATGTTCTTGTGGCTTTCCCCTTTGAATGATATGAAATAAAGTTATTTCTTATGCTAGAAGAGAAAAATACCATGACATGACTTGAAAGTGTCCATCAAGGCTTCCTCAAGCAGACTGTAATTGAGAGTGGGAATATCCTGCTTTCTTCATGTCCCTTCCTTCTCTCTAGATTCTGATATGCTCACAAGTATCTTTTAAGCTGCAGTAAAGGGCAATAAGTAGTTAACAAAATGTGGATAGCACAGTATTTTCAGTGACTTTTAAATGTATAATATATATAGAACTGAAGTTATCAGGCTCTGAATTATGGTTGTGGGAGAAATAATGGGGTCTCTGTGCTTCTGTGCAACCCTTTGAATTATGGCCTCACCTTCTTCTGCCCTGTCAAGGTGTGTTGTGCCCATGTCTCTCTTTCCTTCTGCATCCCTCCTTGCCCCACCTTGGCAAGTCTCTGACTGACCTCTTTGATGCGTCTTTGTTCAGCAGTGTGGTGGGGGATGCAGGTGTGTTGGGGATTAAAGCACAGCTGTCTCTCCTTGCTGACCATGAGACCACAGCTTCCATTTGTATGGGGCCAGCAGGTCTTGGGGAGAGAGAAGGGCAAGAGAGTGTTGTGCTGTAGAAAGGGATTTTTGTATCCAGGAGAGGCCAGGGTGGCATCTGTTCTGTGGCCTGCTCCAAAGGATAAAATGTCTCCAAGTAATCTTGAAAACTGTAGCAACCACTCACCTACCTGTAGTAGTTTCTCTGCTAGTATTGTCAGAGTCACCTGGTAACTCCCGGTCACAAGCAAAATGGGGTTTTGGAGAAAAATGCTCCTGATCCTTTGGGACCCAGTTTTGAGATGACCTCCCCAAATAGCTCCTTTCTTCATCTTTATCTGATGTTTAACTTCTGTCCTTCAATAGGACTGTCCCATTCCTACCAAGTGGCCATCGCCAACCATTGCTGAGCTGATTGGAACCAGATATGCAATGATGGTGCTGGAAGGGCAAGGCCTATTCCAAGGAGGTAGTGATGGTGTCTTTCCAAGAGCAAAGGTATGTTTCTCCTCCTTGTCTTCATGCTGCCCTTGCCTTTTCAAAAGCTGGTTGGTTTCATGGCCCTCAGTGCTGAACTTGAGGCATTCTCTGCCTCAACTTATCCTATTCATAACAGCTGATCTGAATTTGGCCCTAGGCTGGAAAATTTTTTTAGTATTTGTGTGGTGATGGCTTCTAATCTAGTTTAAGCTGTGTAAGTTGCCTAGAAAGTAGCTCAGCCTTTGCTTGTTGCTTCTTGTCTGATTTCCGTGCAAGGGGAGCTGACTGTCATGACCATTGGTCAGCTCTGAAATCCCAAAGTAAATAGTTGGGATTTGGTACTCCTAAACAGTGAAACAAAGGTGCTTGACTCAGGCTCCCACATCCGAGTTGTGCTGTCCCACCTTGCCAAGTGGACGTGAAGGTGGGGGAGATGGGGGGACAGGGAAGGAGCTGTATAGCTCAGGGCTGTTGGTTGTTCATGTTTCTCGACTTCTGGTTTATCCCCAAGTCTCCTTTAGAGGGGGTGTGGCAACCACCCCTCCAGAGCAGATGTCCTGAGTACAGGCCCTTTGCAACACAGATGTGAGGAAGTCTGTTCTTCTTGGCTTTTGGGTCATTTTTTTTGCCCTCATTTATTTAGCAGTATGGACAGAGTCAAAGGTTCTACTAGCAGAGCCATGCTACTTCCACAAGGTATCTGATGCTCCTGAGACTGAATCCTTGTTTTCTTCTCACCTTACTGACCCTGCTTTAACTTGCCTGTTCTATGACTATTCTAAAATAGCTTTCTTACCCACTGCTGTTTTTTTAGCTTTCTCAAGTTCTGCTTCTCAAGATAATATCACTTCTGACTGCCAGCTGTGTATGAATGTGGGTTTTTTTTATAAAGTTCAAGCGACTCATCAGCTTCCGTATGACTCATTTTTTGCTTCAGGATTGAATTCAAATTTGCCCTGATTTAATCTCTTTGGGATTGCTGCAGTCTACCTCAAAGAATGTCTCTCTTCTTCCCTCTCTAACTAGCTACTGTTACACTCTTGCACAATACAGCTATTGTTTGCTCAAGAGCCTTTTTTTAAACTCATGTTGTCTGGCAGCTGCCCCAAACCTCTGCATTATAAAAACAGTGGCCTACAAGTAAGAATATTTTTGCCTTTTTAGCTTTTAATTCCTGTGTCTTTGATATTCTTTGTTGGACCTCTGTTGTTGTATATGAATCTAAAGCCTTTAGAAGGTTTGTTTACGTGCTTGCTTTTTGGCAGGCAGTGGATACTCTTGGTACAAAGATGTTTCCCATTTGCATTCACAAATAACTTTCCTTTCCACAGATCTGTTTCAGCTGCCATAAGCAGATGTTTCTTAAGTGGCCTTACAACTGTTACCTCTGCAGCAGGTGAGCTGGTACAAAAGGACTGAATGAGGAGGGAGAAAAGAATGAAAGAACAGTGCTGGGAATTCTCAGTATTCATCACTTGTATTACTGGATAGGAACAGGTTGCTGAGCCCTTCAGCTTTGCCTTGCTGCACAAGCCGGGCTGAAGTATCTACAGCTGGGGAGGATGTGAAAAATCTTGTCTCTGAAGTAGTATCTCAGTTTTAACTCTTAATATTAAGTCAGCAATAGCCAAATTTCCTGTGCTAGTATTAAATTAGTTTCTCTGAGATCACCCTCTGCATTTTGCTCTAAAGGTGTACTCTAGCTTCAGCCAAGGGCTTGAACAGGTTCTGGGAGAGTGTCTACACCAGAATCTTCTGTTGAGGAATGAAAAAGAAAACTCCAGTCCTTGTGACTGGGAAAGGAGTCGAGCCTACTTGTATCCACTTATTTGTCAGAGGCTTTCTGTTCATGGGAGAGTGAGAGAGGAACTTCAGGCTCATTAAGGCTCACTTTACATCTATTTGAAGCAGTTGTGAGGCACTGAATTGATTATAAGCAGCAAGTAAACAACCACTGGAAATTGAGCAACTGTCTGGTGGTAGTGCTGGGTGAAGTGTAATGAGCATTTGCAGATAAAGCCTTGAAGCTATGGATGTTGACACATTTCAAATTGTTTAAACTGCCAGAAATAGGAAGGCTGGCAAACTGAATAGTGGAATTCTCAGCTTGCTCACTTTGCCATCAAGTGATTCTGCCACAATTATGAATTCAGACTTACTTGGGAATGCCCCCTGTAGCTGCAATCTTGGTATCTACTGAGCTTTAATCAAATGATAACGCTGGAGAGTTTTTTTTCTTTCAGGGTTGTCTGCTGTGACTGCTGTGTTAAGGCAAGTCTAGTCTTTACAACAGCATATGGGATTTTTACATTTTCTGCTTTCCCTCCTCCTCACTTAGTCATAAGAAGCTTTCCCTCATCCTACTGATATCTCAAAACTACCCTCTAGCTTGTTTCTAAGAAAATAGAAGAGGGAATAGTGTGAGGTGTAAAAGTAGCCATGGTGACACAGATCTCTTGTCATACTCAACTAAAACAGCTCTGGTTCTTCTTTCTTTCATCCTGTGTGAAGTGGTTGGGATTACACTGGGCTCTATTTATACAAGGGTCAGAAAGTTCATTGCATTAATGTCTACCTTTTAAGTGCACTAATAAATCAATTGCATGGCATGCAAAGTGTCCTGCTAAGAAGGAAGATGTGTTTCCCTGAGAACTCAGGTGACTTGTGTTGTGATTCTAGATGTCCATGCCATTCAGAATGTGTTTGCATCTCCCACTTCAATTCCTAAAATTTTTGAGACTATCCAGAGAGGAGGATCCAGCTATTCAAGAGCAGAAGAGTTCAGAGTTGCTACGTGAAATACAGCACCGGCAGTATTTTGGGTAAGCTGGGAGAGGGTTGTTCTTTTTTTACCTTGAAAGATGTCACCAGTTATTTACACAAAGCTACAAAATGCAGACAGTAGTATAATATTGGGCTGGTCAGCTGAATATTCTGTCGAATGGCTGGTTTTTAGCCACTGATCTAACTAGCCCACAGTTTTCTGGAAGTATTGTGGATTTTAGGTGACCCAAAGGGAGAAAGTGTAGATGCTCTGAAATATGTTTTCTGTTTTAACTATCAGGTTTGTGACATGGATTTAGAAGTGTCCATATTAGCCTAGATATAGAAGGTTCCTTGCAATAGTTTCATAGTATGACAATTTCCAGACCCCATCACATTCTATCCCCCATAGCTAGAGGTCTGTCACTACAACCGAGGAGTAGCCCCTTTCTACCTAGACATGAAATATCCTAATTGTGGCTCAGGTGTAACTGACTGAACAGTGAAGCCACAAATGGTTTCTCAGTCCCTCTACACACATAAAGACACTTTCCTTTTTGTCCCCTGAAAATGAATTATTCCAAAAAGAGATTTTGACAGTTATGGGTGAAAAAGACAACGTGCATATAAGTGCAATATTACAGGACTGAAAACATACATTATCTCTTCTTTATGTTTTCTTTTTTTTTTCCAAAGCAGTTAAATTTTCTACTGGGCAAACTGGTACCTTTTCTTTCTTCCTGTGAAACCATTCTTTAATGTAGCCAGAATAAAGACACAGTAGTTTCTGGTTCTAAGGCTGGTACTTCAAAAAAAAAAAAAAAAGTTGCCAAAAATTAGGAGTAGTATTCATTACTGAAGTTAACTGCATGGGGCAGGCAATGGTTTGGTCTGTGTTGTAATGCAAGTGCTGCAGAAAAGGCCTGAGTGACTACATTACTGTCATAATGCAGGATGGCAAAAAAAGTCCTACTGCGTGAGGATGCAGCCATAACCTTGGACCATACACAGATATCCATTAGCCCTTTAGCTGATATACTGTCAGTAGAGAGAAGGTATCAGTAAATG